ATGAGATAGATAAGTTGAGGTTGGATTAAGCTTAGCTAATACTTTCTATGAACATATATTAATCATACAGAAGGGTTTCATTGTGTTGTTTCCTTAAGTGTGCATAATGACCTTTGATCAAATTCACCTCCTCTACAAGACTGTTTGAATCCTTTCTATCCCCTTTTAAGCAATTTAATTATTTTCTTTTAACATGTTTAAAATACTTCAATCTATATTTTCTCTTTCATTCCTCCCTCTCCTTTTGCCCATTCCTTCCCCATAGGTTCCTGCTCCAAAACAGATCCCAATTTACACTCAGATCATTAGCTGGGAAAGTACTCTAGTGTGGGTCATTAATTGAATTAGTCAAGGTGTGCAGGAGAATTCCCTGTTCCTGAATACAATGATCCATTGCTTCCGACACTTCAGGAAAATTTTGCCTAATGGCCATGTTTCCTAAATATCCTTTGTCATTTCCTCCATAATTGAATCTGTAATTTCTTTCCCACTTTTACTGGCTTGTCACCCAAATGATGAGAATAAGACTTCCTTTTCTTCCTCCTTAAGTGCTAGAGTTTATGGTGATGTCTCAAGAGAGCACATGTCAAATTAAGTAAGATAGAACATGGTTTCAGCCTCCTCTGATGTATGCTTTATTGGTGTAGAATCATTGTTTTACAAAGACTCGAGTTTGTGAAACAAGTTTTTTCAAGAATAAGCACCCAAACAAGCTACAAAGCTACATGTTGTCTTGGATGTCTAAATGATGAATCAGTCTTCTGCTTTCTTTGGACTCTAATACTTCCAAAATGGGTTTGAAGATTGCATCTACCTTTCCTTTAATTCAGCACTGCAATGGATAGTGCTCTAGTGAGGTTCAAGGCACAGAAGTAATGTTGACAGAGTTCCCCTATGACCCAACAATCCCACTTCTGGGAATTTACCCACAACCAAGGCCAAACTAAAGCCACCAGCATGATGATGTTCAATACAGCACTATTTACCATAGCCAAGATGTGAAACCAACCCAAATTCCCCTCAGTAGATGAATGGATCAAGGAAATGTGGTATATATACACAGTGGAATTCTATGCTTCCATCAGAAAGAGTAGCATCATTCCATTCATAAGAAAATGGAAAGACTTGGAAAAAATTATAGTAAGTGAAGTAAGCCAGACCTAAAGAAAAGTAGGTCACATGATCTCCCTCATTTGTAAGAACTAGATTATGTATATGATATTCTTACCAGGGGTTTTCAAGAACCCAACTGCTTAGTGCATAGGACTATACATAATGAAGCATATCAATATGAATTCTAATTTATGGAAACAAGAAGTTCTTATTAGACCCTGTGTGTAGTTTGTTCCTTTTTCTCTATTGTTTTATTTTTTTCTTAGTTTATCTTAGGTTTTTGCACCTCACGTTTTGCACGTTAGATGATGCAATATGTGGAAAGGAAAGGAAATCACAGAAACAGCAGGACAATGGGTGAACTACAGCAATCTTGATACTCATTTGACACTATGTTGGATATGAACTGTACAACTTAAGGGGGGAATGGGGGGAATAGGGAGGCGTAAGTGAGGGACAATGAGAGATGGGATAACAATGATTAAAAACAAATGTACTTATTGCCTTACATATGTAACTGTAATCCCCCTCTTCATCACCTTCTCAATTAAAAAAAAGTGATGTTGAATCACCCATTGTTCTTAATTTTCTTTATCATGCCTTTGCATGAATTATCCTTGGTATCTGTGGGCTTTCTCCTACACATTTTCATGAAAATTGAAAAAGGAACCCAGAATGTTTCGATATTTTATGTTGTTGAATAATGTAAGTCAACCACTGGTTTTTAGACCTTATAGGACCAAGATCTCAAAATATGCTTATCTTACCTTTGAAACAATATATTTAACTTTAATAGGACAGCCATTTACCAGTTGATGCAGCTTTCTAAAGTAAGACCAGACAGCATATTGGCACACAGTTTTATGAATAAAAATCAATCTGAACCCTTCCTACATCAAGCGTAGTCCATGGGCCAGTGGCATATGCATCACCCAGGAGTGAGTTGGGAATGTAGATTCCTATCTCACAGCTGTACCCACTGCATCAGATCTGCCTTTTGAACAGAAACTGCAGCTTCCACATGTACACATGAGGTTTAGAGCTGGTAACAGAAAAGTTCACTTAAATTACATTTCCCTTTGATATGGAAAAAGATAAATCCATGCAAGGGTGGATGACCTGCAAAGACTGAAAATTATAAAGAGTGAAAATTACATGAGATCTACAGGAAATTATAAATGCTGGAAAGAAATAAGGCAAAACAGTAAAATAATGGGTAGTAGATGGTATTTAGAGAAGTTGAACATAGAAGGCATTGTGTAACAGGAGGTCGTGGACAGAGAGCTCGGAATTAATCAGTAATAAGTCATGGAGGTCAAGCCTCTGTGGACATTTGATTGGTTAGAGATTTCCATAAGAGTGGAGCATAGTTGAGGCTCATGTCCCTCATGCAGCTAGTGTGACATTATTTCCTAGAAAGATAAAGTTAAACTGGAGAGTGTTCAGAGATGGGATGGAAGATTGATTATGACACCAGTAGAACTGATTTATGGAAAGAGAGAAAAATAATTAAATGGACCGCACTATGCTATAAAAAGAGGTTATGGAGACATGGCTATTCATCTAATGTTTTCTTCAGTGCTGGTTCTGTAGTATCTCTATGAAAGAAGTACCACTGTAAGGAAGGAAGGTTGCTGAGAAATTGGTTAGAAAGCAAAGTAATACCAACTGGAATAACTTAATTAAGAGCTATAGTAAAGATTAAATGTCAGAAAATTTTACCTGGTGCTCAAGGCATGAGCTTGGGTAGGGTAAATGACTTTATCCCATTTCTGAAAGCTGTGTAGATAAAGAATGAACAATATATGAAGTTGTCCAGTTGGCTCCCTGGGGAAATAATTGAAATCATATTCCTTGAAACTTCTAAAATTAGGGTGAAGGAATAGGGTGACATATGTGGGGAGTTTCAACTTCTTACAGAGACAGAGTGATTGATAAGTAACATTTTTCTTTTGCAACATTCTTACTGGTGATGTTACCAAACAGATACAACTTGCCCCTCATCAAGTTGGCATCTTATGTAAATGAGAACGCTGTCTTCTATATAAACATCTAGAGGGCATCACCCATCTGCCTCCATGCTGTCTGCCTCATTGGTACCTGCTAGCATTACTTTTTCATGTCTCTTTATTTTGTAACTAAGAGAAACCTTTCACTACATAACAAAAGTGGGCTCTCTTCTCTCTTTCCCTTCAGTCAGAAGCTAAAGACAGCCCCAAAATGCACGTTGCCTTTTGGAGCCATTTGTTAAATGAATGCAGAAGCTCTGAAATATCCCACAAAGCTAGAGCTTAGTGATTGTGTGTGTGTGTGTGTGTGTGGGTGGGTGGGTGGGTGCGCGCGCGCGCGTGTGCTGATAGTGGAATTTAATCTAAGGGCCAGAGTGCTGTCCCTTGGCTATTTTTTTCTCCAGCCTGATGCTCTACCACTTGAACTATAGGCTCTACTTCCAGCTTTTTGCTGATTAACTGGAGATTTGTCTTAGAGACATTCCTAACCAGGCTGGCTCTAAACCATGATTCTCAAATCATAGCTCCTTACTAGCTAGGATTACAGGTGTGAGCCCTCAGTGCCCGGCTAGAAATCCCAGCTCATTTTGCTCAAGAGGAAGGGGCCAAGTACCACATTCCCTTCTGCTTGACTCAACAGATGAGCCCAGAAACCCAATTGCATGAATCAGAAAACTAGTAAACCACAATAAAAATCATTTAATATTCTAACTCATTATTTTTGCCTGCTAACTCCTTTCCAGTCCACCTTTGTCTTGTCTAGAAAATCTAGTTTAATGTAAGTACTTGTAAGAATAATTAGTACCAAAAATATTAACTGCAGATATTAGATGTACTGTTTTATGTTGGTATGTGGGAAGGTTTGTACAACTTAAACATTAAAGACTTTTAATTAAATTATTTTGGGTGTTTCAGAAATGAATCCATTTTTGTTTACTGTAATTTTTTAATTAATATTTGATTTGGTTATATATGGCTTTGTGTACTTGCTTTAGTTGTAAGAAATTTTCTTTGCCTTTAACTAAAAGTTCTTACCCTTTTCCTTTTTGAAAGAGACCTAAAAGGGGAAATTAAAAGGTTAGGATTATATTCTGTTATTGAGTCCATTATAGAGAGGTAAACTCCTCTCCATCCTGTTTGTGTAAGTGGCTCTAACAAATTACCAGGATTTTAACATGTGCAAATAGCAACCGTCCTTAAAATGAAAACTAATTGGGAAGAAAAAAATTAATAAGGTGATAAATTGCAACGTTACTTTCTCTTCTTTTGTTTCCTGTTACCCTTACCGAAGAGGAGGGCACGTGGTTCTCTTTTTTTTTTTCTTTCTAAATCATTCTACTAGTGTCATATTGATTTTCTCTCAAGTACGCCCCGTGGTCTCAGATGATCACATATTTTCTTATATTACTCATGTTGATACAGCACCTGGACTCATGGGTTGACATATATTACTTGAGCTGCAACAGCACAGCTCACCATTGATGTTTCCTGGTGACGGGGTGTACAAGACTCTTATCTATGAAACAGAAGGGACCAGGCTGTTTCAGAACAGCACTTTCATCCTTGAAAAGGCAGTTCATGTTGACCCTAATGACACCCAGAGCCCAGGACTGGTGCTTGATATTCTTCCTACAAGTAACCACAAGGTCAAGTTTTGTGTGTGTGTGTGTGTGTGTGTGTGTGTGCGCGCGCGCTTACACATAAACAAGCTCCTCATCTGGGTATCCAAGTACACTATTTGCAGGAAAACAGTTGCGTTCATAAGTGTTGGAAAGAAAGACTCCATGTCGTGTGCCCTTGAGACATGGCTGTTGCGTGCTGGCTCTCTGCTGTCAGGCCTTGAGAGTTTCCTCTCACGTCTCTGCTCTCTTGTTTCAGCTAGCCGTGAGGTGGTTGGAGCACAACTGCCATTACCAGCACATGGACGAGCTCCTGCAGTACATCCGCTTCGGCCTCATGGATGTGGACACCCTGCACACGGTCGCCCTCTCCCACCCCCTGGTCCAGGCCAGCGAGACAGCCACAGCCCTGGTGAACGAGGCCCTGGAGTACCACCAGAGCCTCTACGCGCAGCCCGTCTGGCAGACCCGCAGGACCAAGCCACGCTTCCAGTCGGACACCCTGTATATCATCGGGGGGAAGAAGCGGGAAGTCTGCAAAGTCAAGGAACTTCGGTACTTCAACCCGGTGGATCAGGAGAACGCGCTCATCGCCGCCATCGCCAACTGGAGCGAGCTGGCCCCCATGCCCGTGGGAAGGAGCCACCACTGCGTGGCGGTCATGGGGGACTTCCTCTTCGTGGCGGGAGGGGAGGTGGAGCATGCCAGCGGCCGGACGTGTGCGGTGAGGACTGCCTGTCGCTACGACCCTCGGAGCAATTCCTGGGCCGAGATCGCCCCCATGAAGAACTGCAGGGAGCATTTCGTGCTAGGCGCCATGGATGAGTACCTCTACGCAGTCGGGGGCAGAAATGAACTGCGCCAAGTCCTGCCCACCGTTGAGCGGTACTGCCCCAAGAAGAACAAATGGACTTTTGTGCAGTCCTTCGACCGGTCCCTTTCCTGTCACGCTGGCTATGTGGCTGATGGTCTTCTTTGGATATCAGGTAGAACATGCCTCCTCTATCGGATCTATTGGAAACCTTTTCGCTGTGGCACACATTTAAAATTCAAGTTTTGCTGTCAAGCGTGGCCGGGTGTAACTGAAGGCTAGAGTCAGGGGTGGCCTTCTAGCTAATTCATAGTCATGTATTGAGCTCCTGTTTTTTATGGAGAACACTGTGATCAAAGGTGGTTGATCTTGCTATGGCTTTCTGAGTGATTAGTGGTGTAAAAATTCAAGATGGAAGTGACACGGCCCATCACACCTGTTGTATTGCCCAGCTGGTGGTTTATCTAGATGCTCTTCCATTTTGCCAGGTGTAGCCATGATATACACATATACATACAGGTATTCATTGTTCTGGGAATTGGAGAAAAGGATTTGAGTTACTGAAACAAATTTTTGTATAATCTGTGAATCACAGTTACTCGTGCTATCCTAATGCTTTTCATACCTGCTTATTCCCCAGTTTTACTGATCACTTGGAGCTCTGGCTCAATGTCTATTATAGTTTATGTTTTTGACTTCTGATCTTTTAGATTTTGCTTATATAAAAAGTAGAGAGAGTGGTATAGTGAACTCCGTGCACCTTAATTCAGCTGCAACAATTGCTCATTTCATTGCTAATCTTGCTTCATCCAGTCATACATTACCTTCAAATCCCTTTCAGTTGTCTTTTTGCTCATGCAGATGGAGTATGGGAGACATCTGTTATCAATATCACAACATCAACTGGTGTTTTCAATCTTGTTAAAGAGGAAGACATGAAGTGTCCTATGAAAGTCGCCTCTCAGTGAAGGAATTTACATCTTATCTCAGTTAGAGGACGCCCCCTTTGGTAGACAAAAATGGAACTTGGATTTTTGTGTCAACAGAGAGCCAGAGAAACAGAAAGATCAATAACATATAAATAAAAGGGTAACTTTGATGTTTCTACTTGAAAGAATCACTTGTAGTAAACAAAGGCTTTTTGGCTTTTCCCTGTAATCATCTTCAGATTTTTTTAAGCATCTATTTTGACAAAATTCTCCTGTGTACTAAATTAAGTTTGCTTGGACCCTGCTCATTTTTCCTGCTGCTGATCCAGGGAGACAATCAGAACCACGGCTTTTGTGGATGATGCCTTAGTGATTGGCAGTTCACTCATGTTCATTGATGAAGCCTCACTTACATCAGGGTTTAAATACTCAATACATTAATGAATGAAATAAGTCTAGGAGAAAGGAAAAGGATAAATAAGAAGCCCACAATTACTGCTCCTGTATACCTAACAAACATTTTTAAAATGAGTGTGCATGCATTAAAGTATATTTAAATAAAACCCTTAATTGCCTTTTTTCTTTAAATATGTATTTTAATGATTTTAGAAAATAACCACCAGTACTATATCCTGTTGATTTTGCTGAAGAAACTTCAAACTGGCTGAAGCTAAGTATTTGCTGATAGAAAGGGCCAATTTATAATTTTTTGGTGGGGGGGGCAACAAAACTGATGGGTTTATGAAATCAATGCAATTTATGTTTTCTTCCAATTTACACTTCTTCAATTGACTCGTTTGGTTTCATATATTGTTAATATACTGTATTCCTAAATTTTACATTGCGCTTTCTAAATTTTGTATGAATTTCTCATAAATATTTTAATAAGTATTCCTTGTTTTGAGCTGTAAAACAAGCTTTTTGAAAAATGCTGTAGTTTCCCTTACATAGTCTTAAAGATATGACTACTTAATACCCTTTCCAAGGCAGCTTAAAACAGCACAGAGGCTCATTTTAGAATGGCTCTATCAGTCATTCTGATATCAAGTTAACTTCTCTTCCAATATGGGACCTAAATTTTCCTTTCCCATTTTATTAAATCTATCAACATATTATATATCTTATTGCCATCTCTGTTTTTTTTCCTACTGTGATAGGAAATGCATTTTCTTTGTTCTTTTGCACTAATGTATGCTGCCTGTGTTAACTATACTTAATGAAAACAATCACAATTTTCTCAGGTTTGTTTCTCCCTACTGTGTACTTGAGATGAGAAACTCACTTTCCTGTGTATAGTACAATACCTTTAATTGGAAAGAAGAGGAAATCACCAGTGATATTTCTAATTCCTTCAGTCACCTGCCTCTTTCCTGAGGCCCAGATTATAATAAATCAATTGTGAATCTAACCATGAATGGGAGGGATAGCAAGACTGGCTAATGGGCCCTTCCAAAAACAAACAAACAAACAAACAAACAGGTATAAGATATATTCCACCCTTCCTATCACTGATTTAGAAATCTTAAGCTGATTTATTGGAAGAGATGAAAATGTTTGAGGCTATTTTTTTTATCTTTGACCAAATAATCAAGTATTTCCAATTTAATTGGTAGGAGACTGAATCAGTGGCATCCTCCTGGTATTTTTCAAGCTTTGCCTGAGGTTGAGGTAGTATGGATTATAGAATGTGGATTTGAGAGGCTTAGTTCTGTTCCGTAGAACACAAAATGAATGTTTCTTTAGAGATTCAGTACTGGCAGCATGCTCACACCATCCTTGTGCCCCTCCTGTATGCCTGTCTGTTTGGAGGTCAAGGCATCTTGAAAATGGCCCATAGTTTGTAAAAATGTGACAAGCAGAGAGGAATTCAGAAAATCAGGCTGTATGGATTTACCCATTAGCATTTAATTTAAGATGTTAGAAGCAGTCAGATTTTACAGCCTCCTGTAGCATTTGACATTGTGACCCAATTCACAAATGCTCCATGCCATTTCCATTTGAAATTCACAGTACTGAAGTAAAATAAGCATTAAATATCCAGCAGTTGTGCTTTCAAGTACATACTGTCTGATGTAGAGGATAGCTCTTGAGCCACAAAAAACATTTTCTATATATGTGTATGGAGGAAATTAATACTGAACTTATCTTTAAGAATGAACATTATTTACTTAATTATTCATTCATTTATTTTCTGTTGCTTGGTTTATTTAACTGATACCAAGATTTAAACTAAGCCTGTGCTCTCTAAGTTTTCTGGTTCGTGATGAGGCCACTACCACTTGAGCTACACCTCCAGCCCAATATTTTGCTGGCTAATTGGAGAGTTTCTTGTATTTCTATACCCTTGCTGTTCAAAGTCCAGTCTGAGCTCAGTCTCCTGGGTAGGTAGGATTACAACTGTGTGCTATGGGAGCCCAGATTATCTTTGTATTTTGATCAGATGATAGCAAGATAATAAAACCCTAACCACAGAATTAGTAAAAAAAAATTAAGGCGAATGTTTATTTGCAATATTTAATGCTGCTGTGATTCAATGAATGCATCTTTATAACAGTAGTTCAGTATTGTAGATAAATTAGTTAAATTCAGATAACACCGTTCCTGACCTCTAGAATCTGACAATGCATTTTGATTTTGTGGTAGTAGTTGCAGTTTTAGAAATTTCATTTATGAAAGAAGATATGTTAAAGTTTGTTTCTTTAGTTCCCTAGAAGCTATAGTTATTTTCATCTTCATTGAATTTATATGAAATTTACATTGCCTAAAGTAAAATAACTTTAACTTATTCAAGCCTGATAAAGACACCAGCTTTTCTACTGTCTGTTAAAATTACTACAATATAAAGTTTCATTAACATTAAAAAATCATAGCTTTTCTTTTTCCCTATCTTTGCAGATATTATCTTTACTTTATCTCATTTTTGTTGGTCGTGGTCCTTAACTAAAGGTGTAGATTCTGTCCCTGAACTTTTGTGTTCAAGGATAGTGCTTTGCCACTTGAGCCATAACTCCACTTCCAGTTTGGGGATGGTGAGTTGGAGATAAGAATCCTATGGACTTTCCTGCCTGAGCAGGAACCATGATCTTCAGACCTCAGTCCTGGGTAGCTAATATTACAAGCATAAGCCACAAGTACCTGCTTTGTGCAGACATTTTGATTGCATCTAAAATATTATATAAAAGTAGTGTGAATTAATTGAAGATTTGGTGGTGTTTGTGGTTCAATACAGATGTGATACTTCCTTCACTTCTAGGAATCATGATGAGAACCCAAGTTCCTAACCCCTCCAACTGCTGTCCAGGAAGTGCAGTAGTAACAAAGCATGATCTAGCATACGATGGTATGATGGTAGATGTCTTTCCAAGGTATAGAAGTAGTGTAAAACAGGGAATAATCATTGGATGGGATATGAAATGTAGTATCTCTGGCCTAATTTGGCCCAAACTCCACTGGTCACTTTCTATGCATCCATTAACCCCTTTCTGTCCTTTCACTTGAACATTATTATCTGATCACTTAAATAATTTTCTTGCCCTCTAAGAAACAGTGGACACCCCTAATGACCTATTCTGCACCTGTATAATTTGCCATTAGTATGCATAAGGTATTGGTTCCAGAACACCCACACACACACAGACACACACACACACATGCACACACAGACACATACTGAAGATAAGAAAATCCATAGATATTCAAGTCATAGTATTTGCATAGAACCTTTGTATATGCTCCATGTGTATCCATTTAAATGCAGTGTGAATAGTTGATATATTCTTGTTGTTTATGAAATAATGACAAGAGAAAGGTCTGTACATGTTCAGTACCAGTGTAATTTTTTTCTTACATGTTTTGGATGTGTGTTGAATCTAAAAGTGAGGAACCCATAGACTATACCCAGCCAGTTGGGTCTGTAGAACAGTTAATAGGAGAGCTTGATGCAGAGCATCTGCTCAGCTCACCAACCACATAACACTTAATCTGCTCTGCTTCCCCCCCCCGTCTCTCTGTCTCTGTCTGTCTCTGTCTCTCTGTCTCTGTCTCTCTCTCTCTCATACACACACAATTACTTCACTGGCTTTAACTTGTTCACACACACACTTAACTTTACTGGCTGTAACTTGTTCACTTTGCTTAAGATCCCTCTTCCAGACTTGGACAGAAGATCTTGCCTTTGCTTCTCAGGTCAAATGTGACAGAGCCAATAGGAGGTAATGAAGATTATGAGGCGAAGGATGGGCAAGGG